CACCTAACCCTTAAAACAAAATCCTCCTGGATGCAAGCAGGGGATGCAGCAGGGAGCACGCCCAGCCTCTCCCACCTCCTGCCTTGTGAGCATGGAAAAGCTCCAGCCCCCCAGCCCCAAAGCCAATGTAATATTTATCACGTCAATATGTTTCCACGTACATGTGCTGTCTTTCAACCTCTGCCCCCCCTCTCGCAATCTCCACCCCATCCCATATCGAGTGAATCCATTTTGCTGCGCACTAATTGAATGCAAATAGCTTTTAAGCACTTCGGTGCAAGTGGAAAGGCTGGAATAGATTCCCCGGGATGAAGCCGCTTCTCTGGGGTTTTTTGTTTTTTAAAGGGCTTCAACTCTTGGGATAGAAAAAAGCCTCCTGATGGTTTGAGGCTAGGTAGGAACTTAAGCGATCCCGATCAATTTTACCGACACGTGCGTCCTCCCGAAGTCTCTATAGTTCCTCCATCGCTCCCGCCCAGCTCTGGCTTATTCTTCAACTATATTAACCACAATAAATAATTGATTTTATTAGCAGAATAGATTCCCCCCGAAATTCTGGAGGCAACTGCAGCAGCTGAAATCAGGGGGTTAGATCTGCAGTAGGTGGGGCTTTTTCTCTCTCTCTCTTTTTTTTTTTTTTGGTAATTGAATGAAGCAAGGAGAGAGAGAGAAAAAAAAAAATCTATGGTTAGCTGTGGGGAGGAGAGGTTATAGCCTTTGAAGTTGTAACCCTTTGCCATATAAACACATGGCTCTTAAAATAATTTAAAATAAACATGGTTTGAATCAAGTCACAGAAGAGAGTGGTGAACTCTCTTGTCTATTGTGTTAAGGACAGAAATGATATAGGGAAGGAAAATGCCTAGCCTGGCTGAAAATCTGGGGGGTTTTTTGGTATATGGTGCCAGTACACACACAGTGCTAATCCATGTTTATCATTCCTATGTGTGAATGTTCGCTGCGCAAGGAGAGCATTTAAATGCAGGATAAGAGGTAGGAAGATGCTTTGTGTCTGTGTGCTTGCTTGGGTGTGGATGTGTCCTATCTCATTTTTTTTATACCCATAAAGGGACTAGATGATTCCTGTCTATAGATAAAATATTCAAGCCCCACAGATTTGGATGGGGAGGAATCAGCATGGATCAATAAGGACTTAGTTTTGTTTGCTGTCTCTAATAAGATCAATACCTGCTGAAATGCTCTCACACATTTGAATGGGCAAGATTTCAACGAATGCAAGAAAACAAAGGTTTTGTCTGAAAAGGGTCTGTCAGTTCTGAAGAAGCTTTTACAATTAAATATTAACCAACATACACATGCACATAACAGACACACACACACAGGGTGATGTACCACATGGTGCTTTGCTGAATAATCAATGCAGCTTGAAATTTCTCTCAAAAATCTCTTCTTTCTTTTCTTTTTTAATCAAAAGTCCCTGTGTGACCAGCAATTTGCACCAGTTTACTTAACCTGATTTACTTAAACCAATTTAGTTGAACTGGTGCTGACCTTTTCTGGACACACTTAAATTGGTTATTTCAGTTTAGCTTGAAACCATGAGTCTCTAACCTTCACTCATCCACAGGCAACAACGCTGAGTAAGTCAAGCTGAATAAACAGGTATCTGCAGAAAGTAAAATTTCCTGGGGGAGCTATCTGCAGTTAGAGAATCTCAAGGGCCAGGTATAATTCTGGATACTACTACTTGAATCCAAACCAAAATGAGCATGGTTTAAGATAGAATAAGAGCACACATACATGCACACCCCATGGCACCAGTTTAAGTGAACTCAGCTTTAAATGGCATCTTTAGGTAAGCTGATGCAATCCAAGCATGAATTGGCTACAGCTAGGGGCTGCTGTGCTAAGATGCTCGGAACAGTGTCCTACCTCCCCGTGTTTATTTGCATGCCATTCCCAGAGGAATAAATCACCCTGCACAAAGGTGAAACCTATCTGGAGTGATCATGCAAATTAAAGTTCATAAAGCTGCCGCCAAGACATCCGTCATCAGCTGGGGCTAGAAGAATAGTTGGGGGAGGATGCATGTGAGAATTACTAGGCAGCTGAAGGAAGCAGGGATATGGAGTTGATTTCAGTCTGACAAGGATCCTTGGCAAGGGGGCAGTCATATTCCCACACTTGTCTCTCAAAGACTGTGTGAATCATAGTGCATTTTGTAGCCCAGGCAAGCTGGCCATGCTGAGAGGGGAGGTGTATTGTTGCCCTGGTGGCCAAGGTGTTGTGCTAGGACTCAGGAGATCACAGTTTAATTTTTGGCCTTGCCACTGACTCTCTGAGATACCTTGGGAAACTCACTTACTTGCTGCAGGCCTCTATTCCCTCATCTCTCGCATGAAGATGATGATTCCCTCTTGTTCTATTTAGACTGTAAACTCTGCTTCAGAAAACAACTTTCTCTATGAGCTTGGGCTGATACCTGTTGAAGGCTCATGAAAGCCTGGTACTGGGCTTTGGATCATGTCCTGGGTTTTAATAGAGCACCACACCTCTAAGGCCTGCCATCACACCAATACTATAAACGTGTAGTTCTCAGAAGTGCCTTTTCTTAGCCTGAAGTTCACCCAGACATATTCCAGCCTGGAACACTTGAAGGTTTGATGGAGTTGTTGCATTTGCCTATTTGCCATTGACTGTGAGAAGAACTGACTCCTCTTGCCTTTGCGGGTCTCACTAGGAGTGTAAGTGCAGAGAAGATGCAATAAACTTGGAAGAGCAGGCAAGGGAAGTAACTTTGTGGTGAAAAGACTAGTTTAATTATTTAATTGCCTCTGGGCCCAAATAGTTCCAGCTGCCCCTAATCACCAGAGACAATCTAAACCTGCTTCTTATGAAGTCCAGAACTGTCTAATATGGCTAGCACCCATTGCACTGTGGTGCTTGCTAGCATAAGAAACTGCAGGTTGGGCAGGGATTTGAAAGGCAAAACAGGGGCTGATCATCCACTTGCTAGATGAGGCTTGTTCTCTGCTGAAGAAATCATTTTGTCATTAGCGCTAAACAACAAAACTCCTGTCTTTCAGCTGTTCTAGGGTGCCAGACAGCCCGTTTTAACTGTGTATGTACCTGTCACCCACTGTTCTGTTGGCATGAAGGGACCTGCTCATTATTTTCAGGACAAAAACAACTTAATCCTGGAAGAAGTTGAAAGCTCTCCTAGCCATGTTGCATGTCGTAAAAGCTCACATCTCCCTTCACAGCTGCTGCTTCACTGGAGCTGCACCAAAGGAGAGAGCAGACAGCTCCTGCTCCTGCTACATGGAATTTGATCAGAGCCAGGGTGAAGAAAACTCAGCACCTCTTTCATCATCCTGATGGATCGGCTGGGTGAGCTGTCTCTGCAAGAGAGTCATCATTATCCCCATCAACTTGACGCTGTGATTGTCTTTGTTTCTTCTGAGAATGATTTCAAAGTGAGTAGAGACAGGTTGAAAGATTCTGCCTTTAAGATGGCCTGTTCCTTTTGTGATCCTAGACTCTGAACTCTTGTTATTCACAATAACGGAGGCTGTGAGAGGTGGCACACATGTTCTGATAGAGAAGAGCACATGCATGCGCTCCATCTGTGTTTTATTCCCATCACTCACAATAGGGAGCAATAGGATTCATTCACTATTACACCCAGAATCACACAACCACTATACACTGGCCAATACAGGGAACGGGATATTGGACAAGATGGTCCTGGAAAAGCCTATGTTCCACCACTTGGGATGCCCTTTTGAGGATATAATATAGTGCTGATATTTAAACTGTGATGCTTAGTGGGTAAGAATAGGCTAAGGATCCAAATCCAAAACACAATGGGGAATCATGGGAATATTCATTGATTTCAGGAGGCTTGGAGCAGGTGCATGTTGTGTTGGGAGGAGGGAGGAAGACCAAAGCTGCTGTAGGAAGGATGCCCTAAGGCAGTGGAGGGGCCAGCCTTTTTGGCATGTACGCCTCAAATTAGCCTGGCATCCTCCCTGAGTGCCACCCCATCCCATTCCCTTGCCCAGTGGGCCACTCTTCTTTCTGCTCCCTGCCCTATGCTCCCTGACTGATCTGCTGCTCTGCTTTCTGCTCCATGCTCTATCTGCTGCTGTGCTGCCTGCTCCCTCCTCCATCTGCCATGTGCCACACATACAGGCTGGCTGTGCCACTTGCAGCACGTATGCTGCAGGTTGGCTCCCCCTGATCTAAGGGTTGGGCACTGAACTGGCACCCAGGAGACCAAGATTCTGGCTCTGGAGAAGAATCCATTGCCTGACTTTGGGCAACTTGCTTAATCTGCTTTGTGCCTCAGCTTTCCTACTGTAAAATGGATACACCTATAGCTCTCGGGGGTGTTGTGATGACAAAATCCATTGGATATTGGTAGACATTTAAGTGCTCTGGTGGGTGAGGCTGATATAGGGGTGGTAAATTGGGCACAAGATGAGGGATAGAGAAGATAGAAAGAAACACAGTGGTGCGCACAGAAGAAGAATAGAATTCCACCCACGTGCACCCATCACAGGTTTGCAGACAGATCCTGCAGTCTTTGCTT